CCTCAGTGTCTTGGGTCGCCAGAAGGTAGGTGACGTGCAGATCTTCTTTCCTGGGGGACTGCCTTCTTGGCCTTCAACGCCTTTGCTTTGGCTTCAGTTTGGGGAGGGGCAGGGGCTTCCAACCTCACTTTTCAGTGGCATCTTCGTGAAAAGGAGATAAAACATGTTCCTTAACATTGATCTTTGCTTTCACAATTAAATTGGTTAAGTTCCAAGGAGCATCCATCAGGAGGCTGAGAGACATTAGGCAACTTGCACTGGGTCATACGACAATTTCGTAATGGCAGAGCCAGGATTCAGCCTCGGGCTTGTGTGATTCCAAAGCCTACACACCTACATCACCATTTCACCATTACCTATCTTACTTTCTCCTGTGGCACTGTGGGATAAAGCACTGGATTGCAAGATTGGCTGCAACTACAAGGTCAGCAGTTCAAACTCACCAGTTGCTCCTCGGAAACCCTATACAGGGTCACTATGAGTCGGAACTGACTCTAAGGCACTGAACAACAACAACCAAGAATTGATGCATTTGAGTTAGGGTGTTGGAGGAGAATATTCAAAGTACCATGGACTGCCAGAAGAACAAACAGATCTGTGTTGGAAGTACAGACAGAATGCTCCTTGGAGACAAGGATGATGAGGCTTCGCCTCTTACACTTCGGACACACTATCAGAAGGGACCAGTTCCTGCGGAAGGACCTGGTAAAGTGGAAGGTCAATAAAAAAAGGAAGACCCCCAACCAGATGGAGTGACTCTGTGGCAGCAGCAAATGAGTTCACGGGTTACAATTGTGAGGATGATACAGGACCAGTCAGTGTTGTGTTCTATTGGGCATAGGGTCACTATGAGTCCGAAACAACTGAAGTACATACAGCAGCAACCTAGTTTTGTAAGGAACCCTGGTAGTGTAGTGGGTTACACACTGGGCTGCTAATTGCAAGATTAGGGGTTCAAGTCTATCAGTTGCTCAGAGAAAGAAAGATGAGTTTGTCTGCTTCCTTAAAAATTTACAGTCTCTGAAACCTTAGAGAATTCTCTTCTATCCTATAGGTTCGGAATCGACCCAATGGCAATGTTTTTTGCTTGTTTTTTAACCTAGTTTTGTGGCTCCATACTGCCTCTGAACTAGAACTCTACCTCCAGAATGTTCCCATATTTATTACTACAAGGATGAATCAAAAATTATTCACACTCTGGACTTAATTTAATCAACTTTCAAAAAAAAGACAAATACATCATTTCTCAACATAAAATCTCCTTGCTTTTGAATTCCCTTATTTAAAAATGTTTCAGGCTGAGCTGTGAGCCATGAATGCACCACTGTCTTCACTTCTTCACCAGAAGTGAATCTTCATCCTTGAAGGGCTGCTTTCAGGGGACCAAACAGTTGAAAGTCCGATGGAATAAGATCAGGACTATAGGGTGGATGCTTCACTATCTCAAAACAAAGTTTTCTCAGCGTGCCAACAGCGTGGGCAGAAGTATGTGGCTACGCATTGTCATGCAAGATTACAACACCCTTGGATAGCAGTCCTCTGCATTGAATCCAGTGTTTAGGCTCCAGCTCTTCAGTGAGTATCTCACAGTAATGAGCATTGTTGATTCTTTAAACTTCTTCCGGATAGTGTTCCAATACTGGAACATTGTTAATCCCAGAACATTGTTAAGCATCAATTTTCCAGCTGATGGTTGACTTTTGAACTTTTTCTTGGTCAGGAATTGAGGATGTTGCTTACTCTCAGGCTCACAGTGATGAATCCATGTCTGGTCACCAGTAACAGTTTTTTAAAAGAGACTTTTACCTTCCTATAAGTGGCATCCAAATTTCATTTGCAGATGTCCAGACACTTCTGTTTATGATCTTCCGTGAGCTGTTCTGGGACTCATCTCGCACAAACTTTTCGAAACCCAAGTCTGTCGTGGATTATTTCATAGGCAAAACCATGGCTGATTTGCAAACGATGTGCCACATAACCCACTGTCACTCATCTATTCTACAGAATCATTTCAAGTGCACGCTCAATGTTATCATCACCCATGGACACGGACAGGCGTTTTAATATAACCCGAGCGTGGATTATTTTTGACTTATCCTTATTGTATAAAGACAACTGAAAGAAAAAACTTGCCTAATTCAAGGTACTAACTTAACCTAGGATAATTTGGAAGATGGGTACCTACAGAGCAACCCTGGCCTCACCTCAGGGTACAAGGCTGCTAAGAGGGAGGAAGAGAGTGGGCAGTGAGCTGAACTCAAGGAGGCGGGCAGCCCTCAATTACTGCCAGAGAATTTACAAGATGCAGTAGCTGTTTTTCCTGTTGCTACTGAGATCTTTGAGCCTCATCAGAAGTGGCAAAAACAGCAATTAAAAAAAAAGTCTCCTGCTAGTGTCGGTGCAAGACTTGTGGGGCTGGCACAGGTCCAGGCAATGTTTCATCCTTTTGTGCATAATGTCGCGGAGTCGGAACCAACTCGATGGCACCTAACAAGAGCAAGTGTCTCTACAGAATACTAAACTGTCCTCTGATCAACCTTGTCCTGACCTGAGTCAATCCTAAAATCTGCTCAGACCTTCAGCCAAGGTCCAAGGGTGACCACTCTGGCCGTGTCTGTCACTGAGGCAGGGCACTTTTTCCTCCCAGGCTACAGAGTTGAGACTGGCAGCGAGAGGGAACTGTTATTGAAACAGCAACCAATCTGTCCACCTGCTACATGACATCAGCCCTCAACCCAACACTAACTCACTGGCCAGGGACACTAAACATGTCCACAACTCCCTGAGCATCACTCTCTCACTTGTAAACTGGACTTCAAAATTGCCATGGTCTCCCCTGAGGTGAAAAAAAAAAGTCTTTTGAGGGCGTTGAAAAAGGGCTAGTGACCAATTTCTGAAAACTCAGTCACTGAAACCCTAAGGACTAGCCTAAACTTTCTGACACACTTGGGCACTGTGAGTCTAAGTCCATGAGGCTAGTCTTACGTCTCAACGGGCTAGGGACTGGTAGGAGGTGGAGCTGATTTAGTCCCAAACAGAAAATGGATTCCTTGATGTGGATAACTGACATCTTTTCTGAAAGATTTGTTTTACAAGGGGGCTTCCAAAAATTCATGGAAAAATGTCATCATCTTTCAACTCCATTTTTCCTGGAACTTTCGGAAGCCGCCTCAGATGTGAATAAAAGCATGCTGCTTTTTCTTCATCTGCGACAAAGACTTTTAGGTCACTCTACTTCCCTGTTATAGGGTGGCTATAAATTGCTCAGTGGGGTCTCCCTCACTCCAGCCAATGTTAGAAAATGGTAACAAAAAGAACACAGCTTACCACTAACACTTTGTTTTCTTTCCAAGGTCACTCTAAACAGTGGACTTGAAACTCCCTTCTATTGGGGGTGGAGAAAAGGTTTAAATAAAATGAGCATGTACCCCAATCCTAGTTATTGGCACCAGGCAGTATCCAGTATCTATGAACTAATGTGTACCCCTCAAAGTGTCCTCAGGGGTCTAATTTAATTGGTTTGCTGACTAGCAGAGCTAAACTAACATCATTTTGCAAAATTCCATGTGTATCTCCACCCTGAATCTTTCAAACTACACTTAGCTTTTGCTCCATGGTTTAAGTGTCACTTCTCCATGGCATATAACAGCAACAAGTGGGAAAAGTACATTAAAACTTTATTCTAGAATCATAAAGTTCAAGGAGGCATAAAGGGTTCTTTGATTTAATCCTACTTCCTCAATGTAGATACTATGTCAAAAATATTTGAGGATTTCTGGGTTAAAGGATTCTGGGTAATCAGTAATAGTAATAAAGGGGGCAGGGAGAGGTAGCAACATTCAACTTGTAATTAAATCTAAGAAACCACCCCATCTAATTTTCATTTAAAGGTTGGCAAGGCATGCTGTTGTTAAATACTGTCAAGTCAGTTCCCACTGGGTTAACAAGAAGTAGCTGGTGGGTTTGATCTGCCAACCATGAGGGCAAGCAATCCAGTGCTTATCTTACAGCACCACACCAGACAAGGCATTGTTGTTGTTGTTGTTAAGTGCCGTCGAGTCGGTTCCGACCCATAGCGACCCTGTACAGGGTTTCCGAGGGTGTAAATCCTTACGGGAGTAGAAAGCCTCATCTTTCTCCCGCGGAGCGACTGGTAGTTTCGAACCACTGACCTTAAGGTTTGCAGCCCGATTCGTAATCACTACGCTACATAGTGGCTAGGAACTTGGGCTCTCGATTTCCTGAATTCCTCTGTTCTGCAATTACTAGCTGGGGACCCTTGAGCATGTCACTCGACATCTCTAAGACTATTTATTTCTTCATCTATAAAAATGGCAACGATGGTGATGATACGAAAGGAAACAGAGGTAACAGAATCACACTCAACACATGAGTAAGCGCCTGATAAATGATTATGTTATATACAAAAAATATAAAAGCTTATTAATAAGTTAATTTAATATTAAACGACAGTTACTTAAAATTGTTTATATTCTATTATGGACTAGGTGCATCAGTGGATCAGGAGACTGTGTTCTAAAGGAAGAAGAGCTCCAAGTTTGGAGTTAAAAGAATTGGAATTCAAAAGTAGCCGTGGGCGTGAGACTTCTCAGTGGAACACAGGGCTTGGCTAAGAACACAGGGCTTGACTAAAATAATCTCTTAGATTATCAAAAAGCAAGTTCAGTTTTGCTGCACCTCCCTCACTGCCTAAGCTTCTCCAGGACGTCCCGTGCGAGGGAAGGGGTCCAAAGGTCATGCAAGGGAGAGATGACTGCAAAGCCCCTACCTAAGACCAGGGCAGCGGCGTGGTGCAAGATTTGATCAAGAGCAAGGGTCCTCCTCCTCCGCCAAAGACTGCAACCAGGCCCTCTTGGAGTAACTGCAAAAAATCTACACGCTTCCCAGGCCCTACAAAGACCCAATAAACCAAAACCCCCAAAGGAGCCTTGGTTGCAAAATCATAAATACTTCTGTCGCACATGCGTACTGAGACTTACGAGTGGCCCCAGGAGCAGCGTGCGCCCATTGCGCCTGCGCCGTTCGGCTCTTCCCCAGGCTTGGAGAATAAAATGACAAGGGGGTCCCGTGGTGATCAGTAACAGCCCAAGTTCCGTGGCCTTGTTCCTTACCTCATAGTGCTTCATGATTCCTTCACACGGTGGTGGCTATTGCTGCTGCTGCTACTGCTGCTGCTCCCTCCTACCTGCGCGCGACACAGCACTGCACACTTCATGCGCTCGCGACCGCGGCGCCTGACTAACCGCAGTTCCGTGTTCGCCCCGCCCCTCACTGCCACTCCGGCCAATAAGCACTCGGGGCACCCACTTTCGTCCCCGCCCCAGGAACCAGTCTGAGAGTGGACTAGCCGCTCGCGCCACGTAACTGACCAATCATCGTGCAGGCTCCACTGAGGGGGCGGAACAAAAGCCGGTGTGGCAGGTAAGAGAGGTTTGGTCGCTCACCAATCAAAAGAGGGCCCTCAGCCCCGCGCCCCGCTTGACCCCGCCCCTCATCGGCGTCTCTGTGGAAACCAAGGGAAGCGACAGTTACAGCAAAGCGCGGGGCGGGAGCAAGAAATTGAGTGACAGGGAAAGCAGCGTCCACATGGCAGTCAGCGCGGCGGGCTGAATCCGGAGGTGGGCGGCACCTGGGGGTCCAGGGAGCAGTGGGAGAGGGCTGTGAAATCGGCGAGTGGGCTGAGGCGCCTGCAGAGCTCTGCCTCTAAATCGAGGGGCCCCATCTGACATGAATAGAATAGAAGGAAAGGAGAAATGGGGAAGGGACGGTGAAAAGCCTTCCCTGTCTCATTCTAGGGGTGTCTTGACCGCCCTTGTCAATACAAGCCCACACCCCACCTTATTTGACAGTGGCAGGGTCCACATTAGTCAGTGCCTGCTCTGTCCATAAAAAGGAGACCTGGTGGCACAATAGGATAAGCACTGGACTGCTAACTGCAAAATCGGCAGTTCATATCTACTCCAGTAAAGATATACAGTCACGAAAACACTATACACAATGAATGAGAACCAACTCAACGACACACAGCGGCAGTGGCAGCAGCGGCAGTTCAAACCCACCAGCAGCTCTGCTGAAGAAAGATGAGGCTTTCTGCTCCCTAAAGATTTACAGCTTTGGAAACTATACAGGGTGACTGTGAGTCAGAATTGACTCTGGCAGTAAGTTGTTTTTTTTCTTGCAGCCCTTGAAATGTGGCTAGTCCAACCTGAATGTTTAACACACACACACACACACACACACACACACACACACACACGGAAAGAAGAATGTAAAACATCTTAAAATTTCTTGTGCCAATTACAATTTGAAATTATAGTGTTTTTTGATATATTGAGTTAGATAGAATATGTTATAAAATTAATTTCCCATTTCTTTTTATCTTTTGAATGTGCCAACTAGAATTTAAAATCACAGATATAGCTCACATCTGTGGCTGGCAGTTCTTTTGGAAAGGACTTGTTTGGAGTTATCACATATGCTAACTCCCTTAATTGTTCTATCATAAGAACTAGGAGATCAGGTGCCAATACACACCCAGGGCAAGTGGAGGAGTGGGCAGCACCTGACACCTCCCTCACCTCCTCTCCTTTCTCCTGGTTCCAGCGGGTGCCCCTGAGCCTCGGAGCAACAGCTCTTCAGTTCACAATGACAGCCTGCACCAAAGGTTGAATCCTCTGGAACTCAGAGGCCTGGCATCAGAGAATTGAAGAAGCTCTCAAAGGTAGATCTCTAATTCACAGGGGAGCAGGGCGGGACATGGGTGAATCATTGGTTAGCAATGAGGTTCAGCTCTGGAAATTTCTGAAGCTGTAGCCTTTGGAGTTCCATCTCCCAGTGTTTTACGCTCAACTACTAACCTTAAATTGTCAGTTCAAACCCACCTAGCAATATTTGGAAGAAAGACTCAGTGAGCTGCTTCCATAATGATTACTGCCAAGAAAATACTTTGGAGTATAATAATACTACTCTATAACACATGGGAAGGAACTCTTAGCAGTGTTGTTGTTGTTATGTGCCATCGAGTCGGTTCCGACCCATAGCGACCCTGTATAGGGTTTCCGAGGGTGTAAATCTTTACGGGAGTAGAAAGCCTCATCTTTCTCCCGCGGTGCAGCTGGTAGTTTCGAACCGCTGACCTTAAGGTTCACAGCCCGATTCGTAACCACTACGCTACCAGAGTGTAGTGGTTATGAATCGGGCTGTGAACCTTAAGGTCAGCAGTTCGAAACTACCAGCCGCTCCATGGGAAAAAGATATGGCTTTCTGCTCCTGTCAAGATTTACAACCTCGGAAACCCTGTACAGGGTCACTATGGATTGGAATCGACCCGACGGCACTTAACAACATAACACATGGGATCTCCATGAATTGGAATGGACAACTTACTATGTTGTTCACCATAACTATCTAAGCAAAACAGCGGGAAATGTTTTATGACTTTGCTTTGAAAAGCACAGATCTTTTTCTGTTGGCAGTTTGGGGCTCAGTGTGTTGCAGCTGTTGGCAGTCAGACAAGTCTTACTCCCTAAGTAGGGTTTGCTTCACTCAAAGGCCACAAGTTAAAATCCTACTAAGTTGACTTGCTTAAAGTGTCTAGTTGTGACTTATTGGTAGTGGTGGAGGAGGTATTGGACCTCTAAAATCTAGCCTTGCTTGCAAGTTCTACTGATTTCCATTTTCTCCATCATGGTAAGTAGCTGAGTCTTCTGTATTGCTGAGTTCCAGTTAGGTAAGAATCTGGTGGCCAAATGGGTGTTATTATTGGAGAGATTCCAAACATATTTACACAGATTCGGAACATTCTGAAACTTCCTTTTGAGACTACTTCAATATGCCCCACACTGATTTTTATTGTTTTATTTTATTGTTGTTGTCACTGTTTACTGTTAAGTGTTTAAGTTGTTACTGTTTAAGAGTCATTTCTGATGCATAGCAACCCTGTATAGGATTTCCAAGGAGTGACTGGTGGGTTTCAACTGTGGTTAGCAGTCCAGTGCTTATCCTACAGCACCACTCTAGCAGACCCCAAATCATTGATGTGTGCCAACCAGGGCATGAAAGCAGTCACCCACAAAAAGCTCATGGAAAGGCAGGATCCAGGCCCCAAGAGTAGAATTCCTTTGTTTTTGACCATTATTCCAGGCTGAAGGATCCCTGGTTCACCTCTGGCTTTCTGTAACCAGGCTGTTGGCAGAAATCAAATCCATTCTCAGATTTAAGACTGACCACTTTGTTTAAGCCACTCACAACATTGCATTGTGCCAGTCTGTGGGGACAGCTAGGCCCCCGCTTCCTTCTGTGTGTGACTCATCATGGTGACTGGTGGATGACTGAGCTGACTTTAACAAGTCCCTTAGAACAGTTTCCAAATGGGGAAACTCCAGGGAGGGCATGGCTGTGGCAGTTTTGAGGGAACCAGCAGTCATTTGGATGCTGAAGATGTGCTGTATTTTGTAGTGTCTGTTTCACACAGCTCTTTGGTAGCTCCCACCTGCAGGTTACGGAGGATCTTGATTTACCTGAAACACACGGCTTGGCTTACTTCTAGGGTGTATGATGGAGCCAGTCCAGACCAGTAGGAGAGAAAAGTGCAAGACCAAACAAGCCAGGGCTGGTTAGTAACTTTCTTCTGTCAGGAGCCCAGAAATGAGGTTTTCCCAGCCCTCTCCTGTCTTGCTGTTTTAAGTCCATAAGATATTTTTCTTTGTTTAAATTTTTTTTTGTAAGGAAGGTGCAGTTTATATACAGTGAAATTTGCCCTGGCTAGTATATGGTACACATGTAACTATCACCAGAGTCAAAATATTTTAGAACTTCTTCCCCCAATTTCCTACCTGCCCCTTTGGAGCCGACCCCAACCCTGGCAAGCACTGATACTCTTATGCTTTCTGACACTGTAGTTTTGCCTTTTTCAGAAGGCCATATAAATAGATTGCAATCACACCTATATAGCCGTTGGAATCTAACTTCTTTGCCAACACACTGTTTGGTATATCCGGACAATAGCTCTTTCCATTTTTTAGGCTGAGCAATATTCCATTGTATGTTTATGCTTTCTCCACTGAAGGCCTTTCTACTGGATAATTATGCACAGGTTTTCCATTTAACAATTCCTGCACATTGTATTTCATCGCCTTGATTACAATGCCCACAGTGCAAGACTGGGAGTCCTGGTATGTCCCTGGTGGGTTAATGCGTTGGTTTGAACCATTAGGGTCACTAAGGGTCGGAACCGACTTGACAGCACTTAACAACAGCAAGTGTACATTACTTAACTCACTTTATCCCTGCGTTTCTTCTTTCCATTCTTCATTCCTGCTCTTAACCCTTCTGAACTTGGTTCTTATGTAAATGCTGCTCTTTTGATCTCAAATGGTTGATTATTATTCTAAAGGTGTGTGCAAATGTTTTTATGGGAACATAGGTTTATATTCCACTAGGAGTGGGATGAGGAGCCCTTGTCTCACAGTGTGTTAAGCATTGGGCTACTAACCAGCAGGTGAGTGTTCAAACCCACCAGCTTCTCCATGGGAGAACTATGTTGCAGTATATAAAGATTGTTGTTGTTAAGTGCTTTTGAGCTGGTTCTGACTCATAGCAAACTTTTATAGGGTTTCTGAGGCTATATATCTTTGCAGGAACAGAAAACCTCATCTTTCTTCCACAGAGCAACTGGTGGCCTCGAACCACCAACCTTGTGGTTTGCAGTCTAGTGTTTATCCTGCAGAGCCACTGTGCTCCCTCTTGTAAAGATTGTTGTTGCTGATGTTAAGTGTTGAGTCGGTCCAATTCATAATGATCCTGTATAGGGTTTCCAAGGAGTATCTGGTGGGTTTGAACTGCTGACCTTGGGTGCATTGGAAACACTATAGGGCAGTTCTATTCTGGCCAATAGGGTTACCATGAGTTAGGCTTGACTGGATGGCAACAGATTTGATTTGGTAGAAGTGAAACCGCTGCTGTCTTGCTTTTAAAGGCCTTTTTTTTTTTTTTTTTTTTTTAAAGCAATACTATATTGTGTTTTCCATGAAGGTTTAGCAGTTTAGGTTCCCACTCAACAATGTCTACACAAAGTGTCCAGTGACATTGGTTACATTCTTCCTAATGCGTGAACATTGTCATTTCC